TGAGAGTGTAGAGAATTTTAGGAAATCCAAGAAAAAGGGAGTGGTTTGCAAACTAGACTTAGAGAAGGCTTATGACCTAGTTGACTGGTCCTTCTTGGTGGAGGCAATGAAAGGTTTTGGTTTTGAAGACAGATGGTGTAGATGGATCTGGGGTTGTATCAGGAGTTGCCATTACTCGATATTGGTGAATGGAACTGYRRTRGATTTCTTTYCGRCCATGAGAGGAATAAGACAAGGTGATCCGCTCTCCCCCTTTCTCTTTACTCTGATTGCAGATGTCTTGGGGAGACTGATACATAGAGCCGATTCTAGAGACTTAATAAGAGGTTGAAGAGTCGGAAGGGGGGAAGTACCACTTACACACGTGCAGTTTGTAGATGACACAATCCTATTTTTTGAGGGTGGGGATATAAGATGGATCAGAAACCTAAAACTAACAATACAACTCTTTGAGCATATGTCTAATCTTAAAGTGAACTTCGATAAGAGTTGTGTGGTGGGAGTGAATTTGGAGGAAAGGGAAGTAAGTGATTGTGCAGGTGTGTTAGGGTGCGCTATCTCAGAGTGGCCTATCACTTATTTGGGCCTCCCTCTAGGAGATAACCCCAAGAATGAAAGCTTTTGGAACACAGTAGTAGAGAGATTTGAGAAAAGGCTTGCTTCTTGGAGGAAAAATTATCTTTCTCTTGGGGGGAGAATCACCTTGATTAGGTCTACCCTTTCCAACCTTCCTATTTACTTCATGTCAGTGTTTAAGATTCCTACAAAGGTCTTCAACAGGATAGAAAAATTAATGAGGGGTTTTTTATGGGAACCAGGAGTGGAGAAGAAAGACCATAGGGTGAGGTGGGAAGTGGTAAATAGGAGCAATATGCTAGGGGGGCTTGGGATTGGGAATATCAGGAAAAGGAACATGGCATTATTGGGGAAATGGTTGTGGAGATTCCCGTTGGAAAGGGACAAATTGTGGACGAAGATTGTGGCTAGCATACATGGGCTAGATGAGAATGACTGGGATCCTGGAATTTTGGCAAGGACTACTACCGCATTCCCGTGGAAAGCCATTCATGATTTGCTTCCAGTTTTCTCCCCTTGGATTAGGTACGATTTGAACTCCGGTAATCGAATAAAATTCTGGGAGCAAATTTGGGTTGGGGACCTACCCCTAAAAGACCAATTTCCATCATTGTTTGCTTTGTCAAATTTGAAAAATGAACCCATTTTCTCCTTCTTGGTTCCTTCGGATTCTTCTTCTGGGTTTGGGTGGAATTTGGGGTTGAGAAGGGCAATAAGGGATACAGATTTGGGGTGTATGTCATCTTTGCTAACCATCCTTGAAAATGTTTTCTTGAACCCTAGTAAGGGAGACACCAGAATCTGGACCCCTTCATCCGGCTCTTTCTCTTGTGCTTCGTTTTTTGAGACATTAGCCCAACCTACTACTCCGCTTGGGCTGTCATTCCCGGTTAAAGAGATTTGGAGCAAACCCATTCCTCCTCGGGTTGGTAGTTTTTGTTGGGAAATTTTCTTGGAAAGAGTTAACACAAATGACTTGCTTCAAAGAAAGAGCCCCAACTGCTGTTTACTTCCCAATAGGTGTATTCTTTGCAAAGCTGATGGGGAAACGGGTTATCATATTATGGTTACTTGTCCAGTTACTAAGACTGTTTGGGAGTGGGTGTTTTCCCTTTTTGGGTATACTTGGAATCCCCCCGTGAGTGTGCAATGTTTGTTCTCTCCTTCTTTCTTTAGTTGGCCTAAGAGAAGGGGGAAGATTATGTGGAGAAGCATTAGGGCTGCAGTGTGCTGGTCAATATGGGAAGAAAGAAATTAACGAATTTTTTCAGATAAGGAGAGAACCACAGAAAACCTAACAGATTTGATACTTTCAAGGGTTGCTCATTGGCTGAAATCAATGGAGATATTCTCTGAATTCTCTATGGCAGACATGCTGAGAAAGTGGAAAGAGGTTGCTACTGCTGCTATGTATAAAAGGAACTGTAGTCCAACTTGGACGCCCCCTCCCGCCGGATTCATAAAACTGAATTTTGATGGATGTAGCTTAAGGAATCCAGGGCCCTCTGGGATAGGGGGTGTTTTCAGGAATGAAGAGGGGTATATTACTGCCATGTTCTCTAGGCCAATTGTTGAGGATGACTCTCTTAGGGCCGAAATTCTAGCAGTTCTTGAAGGAATCCAAAAAAGCAAGAGAATTAAGCATTAGATGCTTAGTGATTGAGGGGGACTCGAAGGTGGTGATTAGGTGGCTGAAAGGAGATATCAGTGGCTTGTGGAGCTACAGCAATGAGAAGAAGAAATTTAATTGGCTGTGTAAGGACTTAGAGGTGCAATACAGTCGGGTGAAGAAAAGTGCTAACTCAATGGCTGATGGGTTAGCTAAGCAAGGGGTGGCTAAGGATTCTTTGTTTTGGGCACATTTTTAGTATTTTGTTGCCATTTTGATGTTGGGGAGTTAAGATAGTTAAACTCCCCATTTTCTGTAATTAATTTTCACAAGTATTATTCATTAATAAAGATTTCTGTTATCGATAAAAAAAAAAGTGTTTTTCAACTTCTGAACCTGTCAGATGGCATATCACTAGTATACTCCTTTTTCCCTAAACTTAGCAGAATAAAAAGTAAACAACCTGTACCATGAAGCAAGTTGTTAATTCTGAATGCCAAGGCTTGGCTTCTTTAAGGAGGGCCCTATGAAAGATTATGTATGCACCCTTTGACCACCTGAAGTTAGCTTAAAAATTGAGAATAGGACTTCCACTCTCATAGGGTTCTTTTCTCTGATTAGGATAAACCAAAAAGATCATACCATATGGTCCCTATAAGTTCCTTCAACTCCTGAAAGTCCCAGATTACCAATTGAATATATATTAAGGTTAGTGTTGCAATGACTCTTCCAAATGGATGAAGTTTGCTAGACACTCCATCAGTTCTTGAGAGGCGCTTCTGCATGATATTTTCTTTTTTCATTCATTGTTTGACATAAATGAACAACTAACATAAGCAATGGGTGCCATTTATCCTATAAAACGTTATTAATGAAGATAAACTTTTAGTCTTTTTTCTATAGGTGTTTTATGCTATAATATATTAATTATTTTAATAGGCATGTATGTGAGTCCTTGTTTTTTGTCTTGCTGAGTTAAATGCCCACATCCACATGTTGGATTTTGATTCCAATTCCCGTGTCCATGCAACATTAAATGCCTCTTTTTTCTATAGAACATTATTAAATAATGAAAATACACTTTTAAGCCTCTTTCTATAGGTATATAAAGTATATAATGTTAGAACTTAAAAATTATATGGATTAATTTAATAGTTTATAAGTTCTACAACTCTGTCCAGAATCTTTTTTTTTTTTTTCTGAGTCAAACGTCCAGGCACATTGGTTTCTGATTTCCATGTCTGTCATTTCATCTGGATCACAAATAACACCACCCTTGCCATGTCTAAACCAGACCTCAGGTTGAATGAGTCCACCTTCGTTCTCACGCTTCACCTCGGGAAGCACATACTAGCCTCTGTCAAAAGTTATATTCTTTGTAAAAAGGAATTCACAAGTTAACACATGTTGGCTGAGTCAACCTCCCTTGGTAACTCATGCTCCAAGGGCCTGAATGAGATGTTCATGTTGCCAAAGACTAGCTTAAAAGTTGAAACATTGCTGATACATTCAAGGGCCTGAATCACCCTTCACATTCAACTTCCAAACTGCTGCAGCCTAAAGATTAGCTTAGCCACAGACATGAATAATGAGAGATATAGCAGCTCAGATTGAAAAGAAAGTTGCTCAACATTCAAATTGCTGTTGGAGCATATGGTTGGAAGTTCCTTGCATATTATTTAGGAAACCTTTTTTTTCAATTCAGTTTCTTGGACCTTCCAGGAGTAATCATGCCATTTTTATATAGTCACTTCCCTTGTATAGATTTCAGAATAACATCATACATGGAAGGCATTCTTGACACTCATTTTAACGATTTCAATTTTTTCCTTAATTATGATCTCTGTTTTGAAGAAAGAACAGAACTTGTTTTCTTTAAGTTCACATAATTTACTTATACTTTGTTGCCACCATGGTTATAGGTATGAGGTTCAATTTCAGATATAGAACTGACTTACTTCCAAAGAAAGAATTGCGTGACAAATAATGGCTGGTTCCTACTCTTGAGTGCAATTTGGCATGCGCACACAGCTTCATGAGATCCTGATCTTGCAAAAAGAAACTGAACTGGGTTATACTGTCTTGAGGTGCTCTTTATTTTTTATTCATTCTCTTCTATCGGCCCATGTATTTTGCAAGGGTGGATCAAGGTGAACAGTGACACTGCAAAGGCTCTTGACGATCCAGCCCTACTGTAAATTTAAGCAGACTGAACAATGGCTCTCTGATAGTTGTAACTTTTCCTTTTTTTTATTGTGAATTTTCTTTAGAGTATATAGGAACAACATACCCAACCCCTATGGGCGATCTTGGGGGGTGCAATGATTTCACACGTATGTTTTAAATGAATGATTCATTAACTGGATCTGGAAGTTTTGCTGCTTTGCAAATTTGTTTTGTAAGGGCATCCTTAACACAGAACAAGATGGCATTAAAAGTGGCTCAAAAAGTAGCCTAACAATATTATGTAGCACATATTGTTCAATGCAATACAAATAGCTTTTTTTTTCCTTTCCTTCCTATATAACTTTAAACCCTTGAGAGAAATTAATATTTGTTGCTTTTTTTCTTTGGTGAATTGATTATACCATCTTTCCAACCATTCTGTCCTGCCTTTTGTAAGTCCCAAACGAGGTTTGAAGCATTTGATATTGCCCCCCATCGGCTGATACATGTTGGTTTCTGCATATACCAGCGGAACACGGGTGGAGCAGACCAGGTGTTATTGAACATAATTGACATGTATTGTTGAATATTTTTTTTCTGTTTTTCATGCATCATCAATATTATATCAACTAGAAATTGATTAAAAAAAAGCATAACAAGCTAACCCATCACTAAAATTAGTAAATTTCACTGGTTTCCAAACTAAGCCCACGGACATTTCAGGGTAGTTGGAATTAAAAGTAAATGATTAAGATACATATTTTTTGTGTTTATACCTTAATTAAATAGTCATGTAAGCGCTTAAGTGTTGTCAATGTGCTAATGCAATTTATGAGTCTCCCTGGTGATCTTTATTATTACACATAAGCCATGCATTTTTCAAGTATATCCCGATGCATTTTCTAAGTTATGTACATTTCATGTTTTCTCGTGAATGAAACTCCAATGCAGATGCCAAATATCAACTTAATGGACAAAAAATACAACTCTATGTACGCCAATGTCAATCTTTCTGTAAGGACTTAAGTAACCTTGTAAAGATCTTCCGGTATCATACCTTTGCCGGCGCCATTGGTGTTGCCATAATCAAGAGATGGATTAGAAGTAGATCAATTCGGGTGCTTTTACTGTTAAATCAGCATATCAAACTTTTCAAAACATCCATCCATCCTCATCAGCAATCAGTTTCAAATGGACACATTTGGAAAACCAAAATTCCATGTCATTATCAAGTTTTTTTCTTTGGAAGGCACTATGGGCTGGAATATTAACTAAGGATAAGCAGGCCAAGTGGATACCCAATGGACAAACCACCTGTATTCTCTGTGAAAATTTAGAAGAATCATTTCATCACCTATTCTTCAAATGCCCTTTTGCTAGAGCTTTATGGTGTGCTTTACAAATTGGTATCAACCCAGAAGAGATTCAAATCTGGCCATTACACAGAATTATCACTAAAACAAACACCAAGAGAATAGGTACATCTCTCTGTTACAATTAGCACTCTACCATATTTGGAGGGTTCGTAATGACAAGCTGCATAATAATATCCAACTTCAACCCCACGACATCTCAAATCAAATCAAGAGGGTTATGGGAGCTCATGAAGAGAACACTTTCCATCTCAATGGTCCATCAGCATCTAATCTTCCTCGTAAAAGTGAAAATGCTTACTTTTATTTATTTACAGATGGATCATATGACCCTAACACAGGTACAGCCGACATTGGGTATGTTCTCCAGCATGCTTCAACAAATGTTTATATTGCTTCAGGAGGCTATTGAATTAAAGCGATCTACAATCGAGACAAATCTCAGTTTTTTTCTGATGCCAAAGAGATTGTAGATAAGCTTAATGACTCCAACAAGAATTACTCATGGATAGATCAAATTTAGGCAAAACATTTTCCATACACTGTTAAGATGTTTTGACCTCGTAAAGTTTCAATTCATAAGTAGGGGTAGTAATGCTTTAGCTCACACCTTGACTTTTAATGTCTGTAAATATAATATACAAGGCTCACATGAACGATCTGATGTACTAATGTTAAATAATTAATATACTTTTTGCTTAAAAAAAAAGTAGAAATGCAAGAGGCTCCCTTCTGAGGACCTGTGCTAACCACAAGGTTTAACCTTTTGACAAGTAAGATGGAGGAACAGTAGAACGGTGAATGAATCATGCCTGCTTAGCAACTCGGAGGACAATAGCATTGTCTCCGTTGCTGGAGAGGCCTCGTAATCAATCTACAAAGAAATAAAACAAACAAAATAAAATATATTATTGTTAATACTTCATATCGCTTGCGCAAGTGCTCTCAACTCTGAATTGATTGAGGTTTCAACTGACAACACACGAAATAATAAATTGGATATTTGGTAAGAGAAAATCATTGTGCCCGCCCCACATGCGATTGGGATGTGCTGTAGGCGTATGGGGAGTAGCATAGTGTCTGTTGTGATTCCATTTCAATGATACCTCAATGTCACATTCCCGATACTTGAATCATGTATGATTGATTGATCAGGTACAAATGGCTCTTAAGTAAAATTGTCCTTTAGAGGCATTCTTCTTTTAGATTTTGAGAGAGGGGAAAGTTGGTCAATGAAATCCCATTGATCAAGAATCTCATGTTTTTTTATTTTTAAATTTATGTGAGGACCAGAGAAGTTTATTTTCTTGAGTATCACTTATCCGAATAAATGATACTCATCTCCTACGTTAATAAATAACTTTCCCACTAAAAAAAAAAATTGTCAACACTTAAATGAGACAAAAATACCCTTTTTAATAATAGATTTTTATGGATAAAATAATTATTACCTTATTTATATGAAAAATAAAAAAACGGATAAGTAACTTATCGAAAAGCAAACGAAATCTTAGAGAAACACCATTTTTATATTTGCTTGTTGTGTTTCCACTTTGCTTACCTGACACCTAATGGCGTTTATATATAATAAAAGGAAAAATCTATGATGCCAAAAAGATATGATAATAGAAAGAGTTTTGACCGATCAAAACCCACACATTAATTTTGATAAACAACACCTTATTTCATGATTCCAGTTTTGGTCAGTTGTTTTTCTCCGATTTCAGATGCAAAAGCGCAAGGGACACAACACCATAATACCAAACATTGCTTTTAAGAATTATATCTCAATTCTAAGAAACTATCTCTTAGAGTGTCAATATACACCCTAAACATGAAAATTCTGAGTGATCTGCTGTTTTTTGAGAAAGGCTTGCAAAATGCAATTTCTCAAGAGTGTTGACAGATCAGCTGATACGTCTAGACGAGAAAGCAGAATGGGATTATGAAAATAGAGAATGCTTCATTTTACCCATAACCCACACGTACAAAAAAGATATTTATTTTGGATTCCCTTGAAATTTCTTGTAATATTTAAAGTTTAAAATGTTCATAAATCCTAATGAACTCCGCCTCACTTTTTTTTGTTTTTTTTGTTTTTTTTTTTTGCTTTTTTCTTTTTTGTTATTAGGAATTTAGGATAACAAAAAAAACCAAATGTACCCGGTTTCTGTTCTTTGCCCATTTGGATGGAGTCACATAATTGAGTAAAAACGACAGTAGGAATCCTGTTCTGAGATGCTACCAATTACCCAAATTTTTAATCCAAACTTACACGGACCAGAGGCAAGGATGCTTCTCCTGAGTCCTGACCCAGGACATGGAGCCTCAGGATTTGGCATTCAGCATCGTTTCCATTGAGAGTTGAGTAGAGACCTGATGGCCCGATGTGATGTCCATTGGCATTCATTTCTTCCGCCCTTTCCTTTCTGTCCGATCAAAGCTTTCAAGGTCAAATAGTTGCAATCATCATTGATCTAGAAGCCTTTCCATTCCACCAAAAACAACAATATAAGTACCTTGTAATCATTTTGAAAAGCAACTTCCAAGTTTCTGCAGGATCTTGAGAACGTATATGAAGCAGAGCACTGGTCAGGGTTGTAGGGCAGAGTTATCATAATCACTACAGGGCTGGGAATCAGCTTGGTGATGGTTCTCTGTATTGTTGCATTTTGCTGCATTCCGGCTGAGCCTTTTAGCCAACCTCCTATGCTTTAGCTTGTTTCGGGAAGTGCAAGGTTCATCTGAACAGGCAAAATCAGCGTACAAGTAACCTAACTGAGGATGTACAGTATAATACCCAAACCCAAACAAAAAGAAGCGAAAAGTACCAGCCTGGTTATGAACTTCAGAATCAAATCCCTCAGAAATGTTGTCATTGTTAGCTTTAGAAATTGAGTCGTCTTCTCCAGGACGAGGAGGTTCAGCTTCAGGAACATCAACAGAGTCACTGGTAGTTGAAGGCAAGAGCGGCCCAATAATTTTAATTTTCCTACGGCGGGAAGCAGCTTCCTTGAGTTTCTTCTTCCGAAGCCTCTTTCTCTGAGCCCTTGTTAGCTTCTTCTGAGTCCCACTCTCACTAGCACCGCTGGAGGTTGAGCTGTTTCCCTCCTCCGAGTTATCGTCATCACCTCTATCTGCTACTTCAATCCCAAAACAGTGAAGGGCATATGAATATGATAATACATGGTAAGCAATAAATGCTAAAAGCTAAAACACTACAGATCCAATGGGTTTTAAGTCCTACCCGGAATAAGAGCATCCAAGTCCAGACCATGGGGCAGCACAGCTTCTTGCTCAACTTCTCGCTGTGATGTGATGATTGACACAAATTATATAGTTAGTTCGTAACTTTCATCTGATTATAAGAAATAAAAGTGAACATGCAGAAGCGGGTATTGATTTCATTGCTTTCAACCGGTCAGTGTGGTTCGTGATCGTGTGTTATGTGCCCTTGCAGAAACCCTAGAATTGAAAAATTAAACGACTACGTCAAAGACTCAAGAGAGAGAGAAAGAGTACTTGTCGGGAAAGAGGTACAGGGGGATAGAATCTGTTCAAGAAGGCCTCATAGGACTTCCTTATACTCTCATCCTGATCCATCCCAATTCCGAACAGCTTTTCCCGAGTGATTTGGGCGGAGTGCTTCTCGCTTTGCGGAGTTCACAACAGTTTTATACTCGTACAGCTCATCTTGATCTTCTTAAGTTTCCTTTCACGTCCCCAAAACTCGCACCAAAGGCTGTGTTTGGTTGCGAAAATTTGCATTGATGCAAAATTATGATAATGCAAATAATTTTGATGTAAATTATGATTTATTTTTATTTTAAAATTTACTTTATTTTATTTGATTGCAATGTAAATGAAACAAAATAAGATATCAGAATTAAGTAAAACCCAGAATAAAATTAAATCAGAATTTACATTCTTTTTATTTACACTCATATATTCATATTAATGCAAATAAAATTGCACTGCAACCAAACACAGCAAACTGGACCGGTCCGTCTGGATTGTTGTTTCTTAATGAAAGCTTTCGCTAATTATTGACGGATCAGATCAAACGAGGAAACAACTTGCTTAATCTGATTGAAGATCAGCTTCTGAAAATAGGAACTCTGTGGAGGAAATCTATTCTATCCGTGTTACCAAAAGAAAAAGACTTCGGCCGGGCTAATCGCGGAAATTTGCGGGTCAACCTGAACCGCTCCAATCTATTACTAGTTGGTATTCTATTCTGTTGGGGCCATGTCTTCCTGACCCGGTGACCCCATCCGGGTCCAATCTATCCATAGCCCCACCTGAAACGACTCCGGATCTCCTACTCTTTGTTATAACAAAATCTTTTAATAATAGAGCAATCATGCCACAAATGCCCTCGTAGTCCTGCTTATCCGAACTGGTTCGTGGGTTGAAAACATGGACCAACGCCAACCAACCATGAAAGAACGGCCAATTGCTTATCGGAGCTTCTTTTCCACATTCATTGTTTTTTGATTTTTTAACTATTTTAAAGATATCCTCATTTCTCTATTGTTTGAGACTTTGAGTCCTTTGGAATACAACCAATTATTGACAGGCGACGCAATATTTTGTAAAGGTAATATCTATGATGTTAGTATATGATAACAAAAGAACTTTAACGTCCCCTGAATTGAATTTTGATGAATACCGGCTGATCGGTTATAGTTTTTATGATAACTGTTGAAACCATTAGTTTTTTTTTTTTTTTGTTATAAATCATATCTTTTTCATATCATAATCGAAAGATCGGGTAGACTATCTGTCCCTGAAATAGGTCATAACCCCATTTCTCAATTTTTTTTATTTTTTATTTTGCTCAACCATTATTTTATGTATTGCCGACCCATTAATACGATACATATACAGAACCTTAAGTGACTAAGTTTTAAACCTTGATCAGACATTGTTCAGTCTTCAATATGGAAATAAATGCTTTTCCAAAAGATGACTTAAGGGTGGGTTAATTGTCCTATTCTCCAAACACCTCAACAACTTTATCATGTACAAACGTACGAAATAGGTAAATCTATGATGATAGAAAGGTATGATAGTAGAGCCTATCTGCTTTTCTCGGAAGGCTACAGGCCTACAGCCAAACAAAAATCTTGTTCAGATTTTGTGGTCCAAACTCCTGCCAAAGAGTTTTTACCTTAAAAATAACTAGTAATAAGAACAAATGTTATGCACATTTGCAAAAGACTCCAACTAACATTCATTCACTAATATTTGCTGCACATTAAATCCAAATTTCAATCAATATAATTATTTTTCATCAATTCACATTTCACAAAATGTATTTTGGATAAGATTTTAGCTGCAGGCCTGCAGCGTGTTATCTTATCACTGATTCACGTCTTTTGTTGCATGGTGCTGATGCACCATAAATATATGACATAAAACATATCCTGTGATTTAGCATTTATAGTTTGCACAAATATCAAGGCACTTACCGCATTATATGGTATTGATTGATGCTGCTCTGAAACATAAAGTCTAGTTGTCTGATATCTATTCAAACCAACGATATATTTTCTTCTATCCCACATTTGTGAATTAGATCATGCTCACAAATCAAGTTTTGTGATATGTAGATTGTGAGTTTTTAAATATTTTTGTGCATAAGATAGAAAGGGATCCGCCTTTTATAAAAAAAGATTGAAAGGAATCCACTAACCACTACGGTAATTGGATGTGAACTCACTGAAATATCTGTCTTGGCCTCGTCCCGTTCCCTCTATGGTGCTTTCAGAATCAGGGTATGACGCAGGGGATCAATTAGAATCCACCACCATTTCGTTGTTGGGTGGAGCTGAACTAACTGCAACCTTTTCCATTTCCATTGCCATGGCATCTCTGTCCCTCTTCTCATCCTCTGTTTTCCCTTCATTTTGTTGCATTTCCACTGCCATTGCATCTTCATCCATCTTCTCACCCTCTGCTTTCTCTACCTTCAGTCGCTGCCAGATAATTCAAAATGTGTAGTTCAATGCAAAGAAAAAAATTAAGAAAGCAACTAAGGATTACAACTCTTCTATTGTCCAGTCTGAAAGGAAAATAAGTTGAACCAGAAGCATTGGCAGGCATGCAAACTAAGAAAGAGTTGTATCTCAATGTATTGATGGAAATAATCATCCTCACTCCCAAGAAAAGAAAGAGAAAGCATTCAATCAGCTCCAACCCGATTTCCACTCCAACAAAGATCAACTTTCATAGGAGGATTGGGTTTACATGTCAGCTCAACCCAAAACTACTCAAGAATGCCTTATTTCAATCGTACGAGGTTGGCTACATGAATCCTCTTCTACTATCCCATTCTATATCAAGGGCATTCCCTAGAGAGTCACCTTTCACTATCTTACAAGTTCCAGCAAATTTGGATAAATGGGATTGAGTCCTCTGAAGTGGTTTTAAACTGATTTTAGAAATTCAGCAAGTTTGTGAACCTAGGATTTTGAAGTCAACAGCCAACGAAAGACTTCATATGATGTACAATTGTCATGACATATAAGCAATAAAAATGGAATTTGACAGAAAACCTAAATCCCAGGGATTTTTATGAGTAAAACCTAAATTCTAGGTTAATCTCCTAGTTTTATATGTCAACTAACAAGCAAATAAATAGAAAAATAGCAATGCATTTTCCTAAATAACAATAAATTTCATATCAAAACCTAGCAAATCATCATTTCCAAGAGACAGTAGCATTTTAAATTTATTAATTTAGTAATCCAAATACAAAATTGCAATATAATAAATATTTGATAGAACAATTACATGTCAAAAAAAAAAACAAGCAATCAAAAAATTTCAGTGGCTGACAAGGAATATGTCTGTTCTTATACAATGGGTGGGGAGATCAGCGAACACTTTGGCTGATGGTTTAGCTAAGCAAGGGGCAATTAGAGAAGTCTTGTCTTGGGAGAGGCTGCAGCTCGCGCCTCACCAAGGGCTGTTGCATGAGCTTAAAGCTTTCTATCAAGTTATGAAGTAATAAATTTTTTTCTTTATTCATCAAAAAAAAAAAAAAGCTGACTGTTTTTTTAATAATGTATGTATGTGTGTGAAAGAGAGAGGGGCTCTCCTATTCCCCCCCCCCCTCCCAAAAAACCCTTAGATTTTTTTTATATTCCAAAAGTAAAAACCTAAACTAATATATAAGTAACATATGGTATCACATAATGTATACAACATACATACATATAAGATGGTAATGAAATATAGCACCTACTTCGTAATTTTTGTCACCTAAGGACTAGCCTTGTTGCCTAGAGTCCTAGACAGGCACCTTTTTGTTATAAATCATAGCGCTCAAGGTACCCCCAAAAGAGCACCTTGATGCCAAATGCCCTGACAACTATGAAATCATGTGGTGGACATCTATCTAAAATTACATTAGGTTAGTTTTAAGGTCTTTTTCCTTTCTTTTTGGCTGAGGTTAGCTTAAAGTTGACATTACATGATTTTTTTTTTTTGCTCAATTTCTAAGATGACCCCTCCCCCAAAAGAAAATGTTAATGTAATTGTTGTTTCGGTATCAGAAAGTCCTATCAAAGTGACTTAAGGACTTGTTCTAGTTTTAGTCTAAGTAGGAGAGTCATAAGAGTCCACATATAATAACTATTTCTGATTGATTTCTGATTGCAAACATAAATCATAGTTTTTTTTATCAATAACACTTTACTTCATTAGATAAAAATATATACAGATTGTACAATCATAGGTCAGAGAGCATGGATGAGACAACTCCCCTCATATAGTCATATATTCTTATAAATTTCTTACAATTGTGTTTAAAAGCCCACTCCCTGTTTAGCTAATCCATCAGCCATTTCATTTACAGATCTTTTCACCCAATGGACTTGTAGCTGCACATTCATTGTCAACCACCTAAATTTCTTGATATCATTTCTATATTTCCACGGAACTGCATTGTGGTTACATAGCTAGCTAATTATCACCTTGGAGTCCCCATCAATCCAATTGCATCTCACTTGCTCACCGCACTCCCTCTAAAACCACCATCAACTCTGCTCTTGATGAACCTCCTACTCCAATGGCACCCAAGAATAAGGCAATGATGTGGCCTTCATTCTTCAACACACCTCCAAGTCCAGAAGGTGTCAGATTTCCAATACTACTACCATCAAAATTAAGTTTTATGAATCCCCTTGTTGGAATCTCCCAAGCACCTTGAGTTCCACTCTTTCTTGTAGATGTTATAGTTAATGAATAGCCTTTTTTACTAATAAAATTTACTTTCTCAACCTAATGGTATGGCCAAGCCTACCCAATCTGCTCAACCAAGCCCAGCCTGAGCTAAACTTATCACTCAAGCCGGCCTTGGACTTAGGCTGGATTCTGGCAGGTAAATTGGGCTCGGCCAGGACTCTAGGACACGATGTATTAAATAATTTGGAATTTTGGATTAGCTGAACACGTTATCTGTTAAACAGGCTACGGAACCAATGATAACAACCCACACCAGTGATAAAATATATGGAGGCCACAGTGAGAGGTTGAATGATTGTGAGCCCCATGTATTTTATCACTGGTGTGGAGCATTATTATTGGTTCCACAGCCTGCTGAACAGCTATTGCGTTCAGCTAATCCCATCTCTGTATTGAAAAAGAACCTGTAAAACTGTCAGCTGCTTTAATTAAACAGCAAAGTGTCGGGTTTATTTTGGGATAAATAACAGATATTTTTATTAAGCAAGAATGCCAAGAACCACCAAACTGCTCACCAAGGTGAACAGAAAACCAAATGAACTATAACTGTATCATTTCAGTAATGGCCACAGTATGATTTTCTAAATATATACGTATGAAATAAAGAAAGCAAGAAAGGAAATTTGTAGAGATCAACACATGTGAAATATCAGAGAGCCAAAAAAATGGTTTGACCCAAAACAAGGGCAAATCTTTCCACCCCTTCTGTTGCAAGAGCTCTGCACTGTCATTGGTTGTTCCAGTCTCACACACATTTTCAGATAATGCTTCCCAGTTTTAGACACCTTCACTAAAATGGCTTCAAGCTGAGGGTGTATTCAACTGAACTGCCTAACTTAAAAAACAGAACTGAAACACACATTTGCCCTTCTACTTTCTTCCTTTGACTTAAATAATGGGTTGTCCACCTTCCTTCTACCTCCCCAACCACCACGTAGACAATCATTCTCAAGTACAAACAATAAATTTTCCAAACTCAAATGAAAATGAAGCACATAATCAGAGATTTCAAATCTAAGCATGGTGGGATTACATTTAAGATTTTAAGAGTTCTTTTAAGGTGATGAATGTTAATCAACATTAAGTTCTTTCTCCATCATTTTCTTTCATTTTGCTCCTAATGTGCTGTATATGACCAATGGATACAAATCAACCTTATGGGAAAATTTTAAATGACAGGCTTGACAATTACAAGGTCAATATACTGTAAGACAGAATGTGGGCAATGAAGAAAAAATGTGTACACAGATAAAGCATAATTAAGATAAGGATTATGAGATACATGATGGCAATAGTAACAGTAAAATTAGAAACAAATGCACTTCGAGAACTTTCTGGTAGCCCCAATAGGCAGCTAGCTGATAGAAAGTCAATTTAGATGGTTGGTCATATGCATCAAAAACCAGCTACTAAAGCAATTATAAATGGGCTGGTGCAAGTTGAAAGCTCTAAAAAAGCAAGGAGAAGAGCAAATAAATACTAAGAGAAGTGAGGGCCTATGATCTAATAGAGGACGTGTCCATGGAGAAGATTCATAATGCAACACCAAATAGTTTAATAAGCTTTATTAGTGTTGAGATAACTTGAGTTTTCTTTTGTTTGCATTTTTTATTTAACATGAAATCTACCAAGTTCACATGGATTGCACTTTAGGTCCAGTAGTCCTAAAGGTCAATTCAAATTTTAGTTGGGGTGAGGATATTCTATAAAATACCTTGTTATTTTTTTTATCAGAAAGTACCTCTTTATATTCAGGTAAGTGTCTGCAAGTAGCAACTCTAGAATAGTATTTCCTTTTCATTTCTTTAATAAGCCAAGATGAAAATAAGTGGTAATATGAAATTAGTATAAGTGAAACTCAAAAATTTTATATATTCTAGTAATAGTTGTTTTTAATCTTGTATTATAACTTTCCTTAAGTCACAATCTTGTATTACTGTGTGGATGTCGTATAAACAACCATAAATTTGCCTTTTCTGATCCATCAAAATGAAGAGAAGCAGGAAGAAATTTTGGAGAACTCGACTGAAGCTAGTTGTTCAAAACTTATTAAGAACAATAGATCACCTTTGTTGCCACAGGAGTATCTTTCTTCATCCATGCAAACATGCTTGTGTAGAGCTTTGCATCTCTCTTGTTGCTTTCAACTTGGAGTTGTTTCAGTTTCTTCTGCATTGATTTGAACTCCCTGCAGTAAAATCATAAAATGTTCATTTCCCTTATATAGAGCATATAAAGACTCAATATGATTAAATTATAATATTTTGGCATTTGGGTAACCTGTTCTGAGGATCAACCTCAAGGGCTTTCTTGACATCCAGTTCAGCAAAGTCCAAATCTGCAGTTTCAATATAAGCTTGTGCTCTTCTGTATAAAGCTTTCACATTGTAGAACTCAATATCCAGCACCTAAGGAGATCAAGAGGGGGTGGGGTAAATGTTAAGAGAGGATACTGATGTAAACTAATGCACCATCAATCCATTTAGGGGAGTGTAGCACATAGTGGACATGGATATGAGACGACAGATCTTACATCTATGGTTGTTTCACATATATCCACATCTAGTTTCCGATATTTTTTTATTCATAAAGAATTCATAAATATCATTTTCTCACCATCAATGTTCACATAATGTCATATAATGTATACCCAAAAAAAAGACATTAGTATTTTCATTATTATGAATTCATAATGAATGCAGCTATGCTCATGCTTTTACCTTAGAGCATAATTTGATTGCTCCTTGAAAGTCATTTAATTTGAGGTTGCATGCAGCAATATTCAACCAGCAAGACACTCGTAAAGCTTTGACCAGCTTTTGCTCTCCATCCTCAGATGTTCCATCTTCGCTGACATAATCCGTAGCCTGAGAGTAAGATAATAGCAATACACAAATTGAACAGTTACCAACATGGACCTTAAACAAGTTCACCTCATCCAACCCTTGACTGCACTACCTTTTCATATCTCTTTGCTGCTCGTTGAAACTTCCCATTCTTAAATAGTGCATTGCCTTCTTCTTTCTTCATCCCAGCTGTCTCAATTTTTTCATGATTACTCATCTCCCATGGCGCTTTCTCCTGTAACAGTGAAAATAGAATAGAATTAAGTAGACGATAAAACATTTACAACCACCAAACATTTTTATTCTTCTAAATTATCACAGTATTCAACCATATTTAAAATACCATCAAACTTAAATCTCAGATTTTACCATTAGATAACATGTGCTTTAAATTTTGTGCAATAAGAAGGCATCATCTGCCAAACTTGATCGTAGTAAAAGTACCCTAGCCTCTTAATCATCATGTTGACTGTAATATCACTTAAAATATACAAGGTCAATGCCCAATGAATAACCCCTATGATAGTTGTTTTTACTGGAAGATCAATGCATTTCTTTCCCCTCATACTCCTTCCCATAAAACCATTAATGCTATTCTTCAGGCTTTCAGAGGGCAATTGTACTATATCTCAAGAGAGTCAAAAATATCCTAATGCAACAAAATGGGCAGTTTGGTATCTCAAAGGGTGTGTAAAAATGGTTCCCAACCTAACTACCTAAGTCACAATGTCATCACATGCTTGATATGTATATGTGTATGAGATGTGATATAAATTACACTATTCAAGCATTGACACTTCTTAGTAGTTCTCTTGATTGGCAACTTTTAACATGAGATAATTAGATTAAGGTAATATGGTGGGCCAAACATTCTTGAGACAAATTTAATCATGTTACCTCTAATATGAATAGGTTACCAGATTGTTTTCATTTTAATTTGTTTATTGACATCCCTAAAATGGCCAAAAAAAAAACATGAATTGGAAAAGAGATTTCCTATGAGTGTTGATTAATTCAGTGCAGAGTGGTTATTTTGTTTGTTTTTGTGATGGAGTGAGTTGGTATGTGGGTTTGGGCATGAGTTGAATTTGTGGGTGATTGTGAGGGATTTGTTGGGAGACCTTCAATTTGGTTGAGGGTCTGGGTAGGAATTGGAATTATACTTTAAAAGTGTTTGGGAGGATGTTGAGATTTTTTCATTGGTGATAGGCTGAATGGCTGATAGCTTGTCACCTCTTCTTGTAATCTTTCCCTTATCCTATTAATAAGGTTTTCTTTTTAATTTATCATCAATAAGCATCCCTAAAATGGAAAAACAAGCAACCATGACTCTGTCACGCAAATGATACATTGTCTCAATGTAGGTCATTCATAATGATATATTGTCTCCATATGCATGGTTTGACCCAACATTTACACTGTATACACAATTAATTAGTGGCTAAGAAAGTTACCTATTTAAAAAAACAAATAAAGTTTCTAATAAGTTGTTAGTTTCATTCATAACTTTCAGATGTGACATTGATTAACAAAAGGGAACAAATAAAAGAAAGACAGGTGAATGTGTCCTTACCCTTGTGAAATCTACCATCTCTACTTCATAAACAACAGTTGAACATGGAGGAATGACAGCTAAATCTCTTTCAATTTCATTGTTGCCAAAACCATATTCAGGATTTATTGTCACAATGCAAAGTTCACCCTTCTTCATTGTTGCTGCTGCTCTGTCTAACCCCAATATCACTTGTTCTACAACACAAAACACAAATACCATCAAGGCAAATAAGGTTCTATGACCAATATTATAACCTGATTATTTAATCATCCACATTTTAAAAGCAACAAAAGATAAACTTGAAAAGAAAAAAAAAAAAAAACTGAGGGCTGACCTTCATCTATGACAAATTCCAAGGGCCCCACTCCATCAAAGCCTTTCCTCTCAAATATGGTACCATCTTGCAGCTTACCAGTATACCGAACTGCAGAAAGATTAAGAAACAAAAATCAAGAGTCATTATATTTGAAATACCTAGCAATATGTGAAAAGTAGGACATAGTGCTCTGAACAACCAGATCTCCCTCTTCTAAGAAGTCAATAATGACATCATCTAATCGATGCTGTCAAAATGTTATAATTTATGATACGATTCACAATTTGAATCATGAATTCTATGGGTTTTGACTTTCGAATCTTATGTCTGAATCTTTTTCTGCAAAAATCTTGTAGTTTTTGTTTGAATCCTGCAATTTGAATCATGAATTTTATGATTTATATGATTCATGAGATTCAAATTGATTCAATTAAGAATTAGTTCTCTACTTTGTTATTTCTTTGTTTCTATTTAGTTCTGTCAAGGGATACTTGTTTTAAAGCACTTCCTTTTAAAAGATTAACTGAAGATCAAAGAAGTCTCCTTGAAAAACCTTTTTCTAAGGAAGAGATTAAGATGGCCATCAGCAACTTGGACAATGAGAAATCTCTTGGGCCTGATGGGTTTTCCAACTTGTTCTATGTTAAGTGTTGGGATTTGTGAAGCAAGACATTCTTAATGCTTTTCAAACCTTCCACTCAAATGCCTCTCTACAAAAGAGCTTGAATAATGTATTTATCACTCTCATGCCTAAGATTGAAGGGACTGCATTTAAAAGATTTTAGACCAATTAGTTGAGAGGATGAAGGGGGTGTTGGATAGTTGATCTCAAAAAATCAAAGTGCCTTTGTGCCAGGTAGGAAAATGATTGACTCGGTTCTTATTGCAAATGAACTGTTAGACTCTAGGAGAGAGGGGATTCCAGGTCTGGTGTATAAGCTGGATACAGAAAAAGCTAACGATCATGTCAATTGGAGTTGTTTAGACAGTTCTGGAAAAAATGAATTTTGGGCAAAAATGGAGAAACTGGATGAAAGTTTGTGTATCCTCCCCCCAAATTCTCCATTCTGATCAACAGCCAATCAGCAGGCTTCTTTGAGAGTTCTAGAGGGTTAAGGTAGGGAGACCCCCTCTCCCCTTCTCTTTATTTGTATTGCTAAAATTCTAACTCTCTTTAGTCAAAAGGCAATAGACTCGGGGTTGTGGGAAGGGTTTGCAATCGCCCTTAGGGGGGAAAAAGTGAATATCTTCCAGTTTGCAAATGATACCTTATGCTTTATTGATGCCTCTCAGGAACAGCTGGAAAATCTTCTTAGGATCCTCAACTGGTTTGAAGTAGTAACAGTTTGAAAGTCAACCTTAATAAAAGTCAAATCATCCCAGTGGGTGAGGTCCTAACCTGGAAGAATGTGCTAATATTATGGCTAGTCAGGTGGATCAGCTTCCAATGAAATATCAAGGCCTTCCATTGGGGGCTAAATGCTCTTCTTCTACCATTTGGGATCCAATAATTGAAAGATTGGAAAAGAAATTGTCCTCATGGAAGGCAAAATACCTTTCCTTTGGAGGTAGAGTGACCCTTCTAAAAAGTACCCTCTCCAACCTTCCTACCTATTTTCTTTCCCTTTTCCCTATCTCAGATAAAGTGGCAAGGAAAATAGAGGCTCTCCAAAAAAAACTTCTTGTGGAGGGGTTGGGAGGAAGAAAAGAATATCCACCTTGTGAACTGGAATGAAATTTGCCTCCCTAGGGAGAAAGGGGAATTAGGCTTGAGAAGGATTAAGGAGACTAATTAGCTATGCTTTGTAAATGGATCTGGAGATTTGCCACCGAAAGGGGAGCTTGGTGGAGAAGCCTAATAGCTTCTAAATTTGGGGTTGAATGGGGTAACTGGAGAACAGGAACACCCCCACCCCCCTAACTGGGGCTATTCTTTATGGAAAAGCATCATGAAGCTTTTCCCCTTGTTTGATGGGGGAACCAGTCTCAAAGTTGGTAAAGGGGATAGGGTTAAATTTTGGAAAGATCATTGGTGTCTGAACCATACCTTGGCTGAAGAGTTTCCTCTCATCTATCAATGTGCCTCCAACCAAAATGCTTCAGTGGCTGAAGTATACACAGTTTTGGGCAATGAGGTGGCATGGGTTCCCCAGTTCAGAAGAGGTCTTTTTGATTGGGAAGTTCAAGAAGCTACGAGGTTGTTGGAAACTTTACAAGTTCAGAACATTGACTACAATCAGGATGACCAGTGGAATTGGGTCTGGTCCAAAGAGGATATTTTTCTCAATAAAATCTATGGCCAGTAGACTCAGTAGTAGAGTGGCAGTGGGGGACTTCCCTACTCAGCAAGTTTGGAATTCAGTTTGCCCATCAAAAGTTAATTTCCTTGTCTGGACAATGGCCTTAAACAAATATCTGTCCAGAACTAATCTTGAAAGAAGAGGATTGCAGATCCTGGATAAGTCTTGTGTCCTTTGTGAAGATCATCTGGAGTCTACGGATCATCTCTACATTCATTGCCCATTTGCTGCCCAGGTGTGGTATCACTTCTTGAAGGCTGTGGGGATATGTTGGGCCATGCCTAAATCGGTTAAGGATTTTGCTCTGTAGTTGGAAGCTCAGTAATTTGAAGAAAAGAAGGAAGCTGGTTTGGATTTCCATCCCGGCAGCAGTGATTTGGACTATTTGGTCTGAGAGAAACAACAGAATTTTTAAACAAAGAGCGAGAGGGCCTGCGGAATTAGTTCAGATGGCTGTTGGTAAACTGATTTCTTGGATTTCAGTCACCCCGGAATTCAGACATTTAAGTGTAACTCAGTTACTAAGGAATCAGTCATTTTGGTGCTTGTAATGGGGGGTTCTCAAGCTTGCCTTGTTGTTGGCAGGTTTTGTTTTGTACTTTTAATAGTTTGATTTAATAAATTTATCTTACCTTTTCAAAAAAAATACTTGTTTTAAAGCGCTAACTAGAAAGCATAGGTTATTTAAGACCTTTTAGAAACTATATTGAATTTATTTTCCATCATATGTAGATTAAAGAAACATTGTATGTGGGCTATTTGACCTTCAAGTCAAACTTGATTATATCACCTTAAGCTTCTAGTCATCTAGTGTACAAGTGATAAACTCTCTTGTTTTAGGTACATATATGGTAGATATGGATTAAAAGCAGGGTAATCTTTCATGTGATTCAAATAGATTTTTAATAACAAGTTTCTAAACAACAGAAATAATCTTACAATTCATAATTCAATTCAATTCAGCTTTCTCTACAATTTACAATACAATTAAAGTGATCGTTCAATGAAAATCCACACAGCGGATAGCCTGACCATAAATATCTGCACCAAACAAAATATCTTACTATATGTTTTAACTTTTAACAATTTATGTTATTATATAAGTTAACTTTGAAAATTAATTGCAAGATCCTCCAGAGTTGCAGAGGCACAACAACATCAATAAATTTTTTTTAGATCAACACAACATCAATAAACGTTTGAAATATGTGGAAAAGGAACATACAGTGGCATGTTACAGAAGCAAACATTACAATACTTACTAGTAACGGCAGCTCCATCATTTGCACTGACAGTGCCTTCTCCTTCTCTAAGAATCTTTTTCAAAACCTTGGTATCACCAGTAACATCAATAACTGGCTTGAAGGATAACAATACAAGATCAATGTTTAACACAGAATTTGGGGGGATAGCTGGAAATCCGTTGCTTGCATCTCTCCCATTCTCCCCAAATGCATCTGTAATAGTTAATAAAATTAGAGGAAGAGCTCACTAACCCTTAATAGGCACTCTAAGTAAAACAAACTTTCCAAATATAAGAGATAAACAAGACCAAAAATGTACATAACTTTTTTTCTTTTATTTCCTTTTCTTCTTTTCATAAGCACACTATGGGCATGACTTATTTCATTGTCAATGGTTGAGAACTTTTACTTTAATTATGAAAAAGGTCATGCACCATAGCTTTGATACACTTAAGTAACTTGGTAAGCTCTAGGAATTCTTCCAGTGTGAGTAGTCATTTTATGAAATACTTTTACAGAAGCACCTTGAATTTCCTATTATCAATCTCCTATTAAAAATTAGTATTAATCCACACCATAGAAGGGTTGATGGGGACCTATAAAGTCTAAATTAACATCTAAACTTTGGGTTTTTCATGGTGTAGGCATCTGTAATCCCCCACAGAGACAATTGACTCTAAAAGCAATCTAATCTGTGAAAACAAAGGAAGTGGAGGTGGGGAGAAGAAAGTCCATGTCAATACTAGATAACTAATTACTTGATTTTTTACAGAGCATTTAGGGGGATAAATAGGGTAATGCTTTACAGCCAATTTTGCCTATGAATCATAAAGATCTTAACTGATCCATACTCTTCTAGTTTCCTACCGGGCATATCACATTGCAGTACATCTCTATTCAGGTATAAAGATGAACTTCAGGAGTTCCATTTTGGTTCAGGGATATAGTTTGTTTGAGAATATTTATGATTCTAAGCATTTAAGTAAAAAAATGCATAAAAAGGATAAGAAGCTTTGGCCTGTTAACAAACTCAGAACACAAAAGTATAACAATTAAAACTGTATGGCCATCATGATAAGAAGCATCAACAAGCAAAAACTGAGAGCAACATATTTTTCTCAGTTCAACTAAGCCTTTCTCCCACTATGTAGGGTTGGTTAAATGAATCCCATTTTGTCAATCCACTTGTTCGGTGCGAGAAGCAGCATATTTTTCTAGAACCAAAAAAAAAAATGAATCTAAAAATTAAAGACACTTAACATCATATCTACAAAATATAGTAACAGAAATACATACACTTAGATTCAACAATTAATTTGACCTTCTCTCCCCTTTTCATGGTCTTAATTGCTTTTTCCAACGCTGGGCAGAAATGACCTGGCAGAGAATTTGAGGGAAAACATCATTTTAAAAAATTGCAAAATATCAATTAGAATTCACTGCATTGACCTTCTCTCTCTTAAAAGGGCAGCCCAGTGCACGAGTCCCCCGCCAATGCAGGGTTTGGGGTGGGACAGATGTATGCAGCCTTACCCCTGCACATACAGAGAGGCTGTTTCCCAGATATGAACCCTGGCCACCCAGGTCGCAATGGAGCAATCCGACCGTTGTGCCAAGGCCCACCCTCACCTTCTCTCTCTTCTTAGCCTCAAAAACATAAAGGGAAAAATCCACAGAAGGGGAAGGAGTGCAGGAGTGGGAAAATAAATTTCGGCCCTTTTAACCATGGAGTAAAGAGGTTTACCATCTTTCACATGTAATTCAGTTCCTTCTTCTGGTGTTTTCGCAACAATTGTTCCATCAATGAGCATCGCTTGGTATTTTACTGCATTGACAATAAGAAGGTCACAGCATTATTCTAACACTCTGTGAACAATAGCAACAGCCTAGCTAAAACTTTCACAAATCAGATAACTTAAGTACTTAACCCAGTTCCTGCTAGTTTTGTATAATCTAATACAATAGACTGCAACACAAAAGATTTCAGAAGTTACAGGACAAATCTTGCAGTACCCATAACCTCATCCAAGTCACCCGGCTGCTCAATTCTCTCCCCTTTTTCCAAAATTTTCTTGATAATCCCACCATCCTTGCAGATATCCACCACCGTGATCCAAGAGATGAGCTCCACCTCAAACTGAATATCGGAATTGGGTGGGACGCCATCGGAGCCTTTGGTTCCGTACCCCAAATTAGAAGGCAATGTGAACAATGATACTTCCCCCTTTTTCATGGTAATAATCCCCTGATCCAAACCAGCCACAAGTGGACCTAATAAACCAATCAATAAGATAAGACAAACAGAAATTCAATCAAAACATACTCAAAATGAGGAAACATAAATGCATTAGAAAAGAAAATGAAAGCAGTTAGCCAGTTACAAGGGCCAAAAACAAGTCGATTACCCAAACGTAATATCAAGGGAAAGAACTGAAAACTCACAGTGACCAAGCTTAAAAGTGAAAGGCTCGTCCCTATCCCTGCTGGAATTGAACTTGGTTCCATCAAGTAAAGTACCGACGTAATGAACTGGATGAAAAAAAAAAAAAAAAAATCAGACTACTTATTTGTTTGACGAAAAGTTAAAGAGATCAATAAAAGCAATCTTGCTTCTAGTAAAAAAAAAAAAAAAAAAAATCAGACTACTTATTTGTTTGACGAAAAGTTAAAGAGATCAATAAAAGCAATCTTGCTTCTAGTAACATGGAGAAGAATGATAATGAAAGAAAGAAAGAAAGACACTGAACTAAATCCATGGGCTTATTCTCTTGCTCATTACCAGTAACTTCATCGCCAAACTCGGGAGTGTCCCACCCCTGGCCACGCTTAAGGAGTTTCTTCTTCACGCCAGAGCTGTTAATCTCCCTCTCCTCTCCTACCTTGAGAGGTGGGGCGGATTCAATCACCTCTCCAGGCTCTTCGTCGAGCTCGTCTTCGTTTTCAATGTCGGAGAGGTTGGTATCTTTGTCTGCTGCCATGATTGAAGTTACTGATCAACGCAACAGCATGCGATGGCCTGCGCCTACCGCCAAGGAAGAATCGCAAGATAAAGGTTTGCAGCGGGGTGTTTAGGTTCTCGCCCTCTGGGGCATCGAGAGAGTATACTCCGTGCAGTGCGAAGTGAGAGAAGTGATCACTGATCAGTAAAGAAATCTGGAAATACAGGCAAAAGGCCAAAATTGCCGATTTGAGTACGAGGCCTAACCATCAGAAATCTCGACCGTCCACAGGGAAGTGATTTGGGCACAGTTAGTTAAACCGGGCAAATCCACAGTCTGTGCTGTACTCTGGTGGATAAGTGGATTGTCTACCCCGAGCCCCACACCAAATCCATTAGCCCTCCAACATCCCCATATTTAATACTGGCGTGGATGATTGGTTTCACATAAAGCTGGAAGTTGACCCAACCCGCGAACCCTATCCAACCCAACCCGGAAAAACAGGGTTAGGGTCTCATATTTAGATATTTGAATGTGAGAATGACCCAATTCGAAAAAAATTGGGTTAGGTTGGGTCATGGGTCAACCCGTTGATCCGATTGGAAGTTTAATTGGGATTATTTATGTATTGTTAGAAGTTTTCATTCTTTAATTTTTTTTATTTAGTCTTTACTCTTTAAATTGCTAAATGTTCACGTTTTTTTTTATTTTATACTTGGAATTGTAAGGTTAATTCCTCTAATTTTGGCATTTTTCATGTAGTTTTTCTTTTTTTTTAATTTCAGTTATTTATTGGGATGACCCAAATTGACCCACGGGTCAACCCTAACCCGAACATTTAGGGTTAAGGTCTAGCATTTGATAACCCAACCCAAAATTCAACCCGACCCGAAATCAACCCGAAGTGTCTTGACCCAACACTACCCCCCGTGAATTGGGAACATCTCCCTTGCATAATACTATGTAGGAGGATGAGATGTTCTCCATGTGTGACTGCGATGTTATGTGGGTACATTCAAACCTGGAAATTTTCAGATAAGTATTGGCCCAACAGTAACCCAGCGAACCTAACCAATTACATAGAATTTTTTTGGTACTTAACACAACATAATAACCTTTCAACTTAGGTGATAATAGTAGGATTCAAATCCACGTCTCTACTGGGACTAGACATGTTCATGGGCCGGGTCGGGCCGGGATCGGGTCGGGCTTTGACACTTTATTAACAGAAAACTGTTAGGCCCGAGCCCGAGCCCGACCCGACCAACGGGCCTATAACTTGGGCCTGAGCCCGGCCTGATAAAAAGCCCGAAGCCCGAGCCTGAAGCCCGACCTAATAAAAGAAATTCAAAATTTTCCCTATTCAAATGGACATTTTCTATTTTAATTTAGATGTTTTTCCCCTATTTAAATGAACAATGGGCCTACAAGTGAATCAATGACCTTCTCAAATCAAAAAATTTATTCAAATAGACATCGCATAGGGTTTTTACTTAGGTTTAACTATAGGTCGGGCCGGGCCGGGCTTTTTGGCCCGAGGTTAAGCCCGCGGGCCAAAAATCCTATTCAAGCCCGTCCGGGGGTCGGGCCGGGCCGGGCCGGCCCGTCGGGCCACCCGGCTCATGAACAGGTCTAACTGGGACTATCCAGTTATCATGCAAACCGAGTCACCACTCAATTGGTAACCAAGAAATGATGCAAAGGGTATGAGGGGAGGGTTAGCCCTTTTTTGAGACTCTAGATCTCTTGCCCACAAGAACTCTGCCCACGTTTACCCACAACACACTACCCCCGTGAATTGGGAACATCTCCCCCTACATAATACTATGTAGGAGGATGAGATGTTCTCCATGTGTAGGTGCGATGTTATGTGGGTAGATGTGGGCAAAGTTTGTGTGGGCAGGAGATCCGGACTCCTTTTTTGAAAAGAAGGAATAGTTAGTAAAGTCCTCTATACTGATCAAAATACTATTCATGTTAGAATCAAAGACTTAAATGGGAAAACTTGGTATTGCTCATTCATAATGGGGTGCCAAAAAAGCATAAAAGGAAGTTGTTCCTTAAAAATTGGGAGTATTTAACAGATTTAGTGAAGGGTTCATGGCTGTGTTGTGGTGATCCGAATCTTGTTTTTAATCACCATGAAAAAGGAGGAAGGAAATGCAGTAATGCCTATCTAAATGCTAACAATAGGCTTCTAAGGAAGTGTGGGCTTCAAGAGATTCAAAGTCATGAGGTAGGCTTTACCTGGTCAAACAAAAGGGAGGGAGAAGAATGCATCCAAGCTAAACTAGACAGAGCTCTTTGTAACCAAAGCTGGTGGGATCTTTTTGAGAAAGCAAATGTCAAAATCCTTATTTTTTGTGGGGTCTGACCATTTATCCATTCTTGTAGATAATGAGAGAAATATGAAGTGAAAAAGGAGACCCTTTAGAATGGAAGAAATGTTGTTCTCACATGAAAAATTTTAGAAATTGTGGAATAATCTTGAAACAGGCAGCATTCTAGCTTAGTTCAAACCCAATTAAAGGGAAAAAATAGGAAAGTTGCAAAGAAATTTGAAGATCTGGAACAAGGAAACTTTTGGAAATGTCCATAGAAACATAGAATCTAGCAAAAAAGAACTAGAGCTTGAACTAGAAGAAAAAAAAAAAGTGGACAAAAACAAAATTTAAAACATTGAGTCAAAATTGGGAATGTGGTTAAAAAGGGAGGAATAAATGCGGGCTTAGAAGTCAAGGGTAAACTGACTAAAATATAGGGACAAAAACACCAAATTTTTTCATGCAACAACCTTGATAAGGATAAGCATAAATAAAATTCTGAAGCTGGAGAAAGAGTCAGGTGAGTGGGTGGAAAGTGAAGACCAAATAGAAGAAATGTTGTACAAGCACTTTGAGGATATTTACAAAACTTCAAACCCTGGGGTTTGGGATTCTTTGCTAAGTAGCTTGAGTAGAAAATTATCAGAAAAGGAAAGCAACTGATTGGAGAGAGATCTAGAAGAAGAGATCAAACTAGCCTTGCAGCAGATGGCCCCTCTAAAAGCCCCGAGGCCTAATGGACTCCAAAATATTTTCTTCTAGAAATATTGGAGTATAGTAGGGTAAGATGTCTCCCTTGCAATTACATATTTCTTTATTCAATCAAACTTACATAGCTCTGATTCCCAACGTCAGAAGTCCAACCAATGCAAGTCATTTCCGACCTATTAGCTTGTGTAATGCAATCTATAAAACAATATAAAAAATCATGGTGAACAGAGTCAATTCTTTTCTCAATCAAATGGTAAGTGAAAATCAGAATGCCTTTATTTATCCTAGTCTCCCAACTAGTGTCAGAAATTCAAAAAATGTTGGCTAGGAGCATAAGAATTAAAAAAGTAGAAAACCCCTCTATTTATCCTAGTCTCCCAACTAGTGTCAGAAATTCAAAAAATGACCTATTTCATCACCTCATAGAAATGATTCAGGCAAAAAACCTCAAGCTAGTTTGAGTTATTTCTATCTCAGGGAGGGGAAGAAGTGCTGTTGAAATCGGTGGTTTCTGCTATACCAACTTACTCAATGTCATGCTTCTTAATCCCTAAATCTATTTGTGAGGAGATGGTTAAGGTCCAAAGAAAATTTTGGTAGGGTTCACAAAATAAATAAATAAATAAATCATTGGCCGAATTGGAATACTATCAACAAAAATAAGAACAATGGGGGACTTGGCTTTAGGGGTCCTCATCACTTTAACGTAGCCCTATTAGCAAAGCAAGCTTGGAGATTATGCATAGAAGAAAACGATCTCTAGGCAAGGTTAATTAGGGCAAAGTACCTAAGGGGAAAGGATTTCCTGAATGATAATTTAAAAAAGAAAGGATCTTGGGGTTGGCAAAGCTTGTTAGATGGGAGAGAAATTCTAAAAAAAATGTGCTTGTTGGGAAATAAATTCAGAAAGAAAAGTTAGAATTTGGAAAGATCCTTGGTTGGGAAGCTTCCAAAACTTCAAAGTAATCGGACCTGAACCAGGACCCAATTCTCTCATATGGGTTAGTGATCTTATTAACAATGATAGCAGATGTTGGAACCCGAACCTGATTAGGAACAATTTTAGTGAGCTAATGGCTAATCAAATCTTAAAAATTAATCTGGCTATGGGGCCTTGGAAGGATAGGCTAGTATGGAAAGGTTCATCCTCAGGAAAGTTCACAGTCAAGTCAGCCTAATTTTTAGCAAAACAATCTACTAACCAAGATTAACCCTCCCCCTCTAAGTCTCAAAGCTCACAAGCTAAGGTTTGGAAAGTTATTTGGAATCTCAAAATAGATACAAAAATCTCTCATTTCATTTGGAAATGTTGTTGGAATGCAATAGCTGTAAAAGAAAATATAGTTAAAAGGCAAATTCTGATGATCCTTCTTGTCCCATTTGTGGGAATGATTCTAAATTTGTGATGCATGCATTACTTTTCTGTAACCATGCAAAGCTAGTATGGTTTGGGTCGCTTCTCAGCTATGACTCAGACCAAGCTAAGAACAACTCAGATTTAATTTGCTGATTGGTTAGATCGATGGATTGAAAGGCTTTCCCAAGACAAACTCAGAAAGGATTATGCTTTATTAATCTGGAATCTATGGAAAAGCAAAAATAGGGCAATTTTTGAAAATATAGAACCAGATCCTAACGCTACTTTGCAAATTCTAAACAGGTTGTGGACGGAGAGGATGACGACTTTGTAGTTAAGATGGCAAGATTCTTCACCTCCTTGTGAAAGGGCAATCAAAATCTTTTTTGGCAACCCCTACCCATCAAATGTTCATTAACTGTGATGGAGGCTTTAGTGATTCGGATGCAGTTGCTTAAAGAATCATATTTGGTGAAATTTTGACTGTCCACTATGATCCATGTTCAAGCTACTTGGCAATTTACTCTGAAGCCTTGGCCTGTTTCAAGGAGTGCAACTTTCTTGACGTCTCTTCTGAGGACATTTCATTTTGGAAAGTGATAATAGGACCTTGATTCAAGCTTCAAAAGCAAAGAATCCTAATATGGCTAAGGAAGATATTTTGACCCTCTGAGGGGCTTGACTACCTTTGAATTTTCTAATGTAAAAAGATAGGTGAATGGCTTAGCGCATGCTTTTCCCAAGAAAGGACAGATAGACTCTAGTTTGTTCACATAAGCTTTATTTCTGTGGTTGGCTAATTGGGTCAACAGAACCCATTTTTGTAACTCTTCGTATTGTCAGTTGAATGAAAATTAACTTCTTTTTGCCTAAAAAAGAATTGGTAACCAATTACGTAAAGGTTGAGTCTGCATTACACGTCCCCATTAAAGGAGGTTAAGGATGGTTTGGTCATTTCATATGTAAATATAACGTACTGAATTTATTATATATATATATATATATATATAATTCATATACAATATAATATATAAAATATATTTTTATAATTTTAAAAATAAATATAATTATATAAAATTTATATATTAAAATCAATATTATAATATAATCATATTCGGATTTTAATTAGATGAGATGGGTGAGATTCAAATCCAATTTGATTAATAATCATATTGAGATTGCAAAATCCAAATCCAATCCGATTACATAAATACATCATCTAAATATGAGGATAATAGGTTTGGATGTCAGATCAGGCCTCGGATTTTTGGGTATCATTGGCATGCCTACAAAAAAGTGCTTAATGGTATCATCCTAACCCAAAATAAGTGCTTATTGGAAAGTAATAATTGAATTTACATTTGCAAACCTTAGGATTAGAGATGAACTAAATACAAAAATATGGGCATTTTAGTAGTCATAAAAACTATAATAAAATGACTTTTATACATTTCCTCAAACAAAGAAATAAAGGTTAATTTTAGTCCAAAAAACTTCACTATGCATCGACACTTTTATATAATTTTAAAAAGCACGAATGGCCTTAAGAATATCTCTGGAATTTTCTAAGGACAAAATTTGCCCCTCTATATTTAAATTTATTGATAAAAATGAGGGCAAATAGGATAATTGGTTATTGATATTAAATGAGTTGAAAAGAGGTAATTTTAAGATATTCAATGCATTCAATTCTCTCTCATTAAATCCAACATTTAAGTTATTAACTTGCATTCATGTTAATTGAATCATATATTTAAGTCATTTTTGTTTCTTCTCATCATTAAGTTTTATTAATTAAATCCATACTTAATAAATTAATAATTCCAATAACATAAAAGATTATACTTTTAAAATCTACCTAGCAAAAATAATGCTTTCATCTAGGTGGTGATAAGAAATTAAATCATTTTGGGTCAAATGGGTTAATTCATGTTGCCATGATTAAATAATAAAATAAATAAATAAATAAATAAAATTAAAAAAGTAGAAATTAAAAAAAAAATTGGGAATATTTTTAACATACATATTAAACAATAATAAGTATGATAAATAAGAAATATTTTTATTAATGATGGAAATGGAATGTAAAATTTAAAACCAATTGGAAATAAAAAGTTTTCCTATTCTCTCTCATTAAATTCTATATTTAAAATATATTTTTCTCATCATTAAATTCTTGTGATTAAATCCATAATATTAATTTTAGTAGTATAAAAATAAATATTTTGAATAGTAATTTGAAAACAAAATCATTTTCTTCCCTCACGGTGGTGGGCAAGCAATTCGACCATTTGGGGTCAAATGGATTAATAAATAATGTCATAATTAAATAATAAAAAATTAAAATAAATAACTATGAAATGTAAGAAGTATTTTTATTAATGATGAAAATGAAATGCCAAATTCAAAATCTACCTATAAATGAAATGATGTCATAGTCAAATAATAAATTTTTTAATAATAGAAAATACAAAGAATCACAAAAATAAAAAAAGATATAGAAAATTTTGGGCACATATCTAATGTTATATATTTATAAAAAATAAAATATTGGGTACATCTCTAATATTATGCATTTATAACATTGAACAAAAATAAGTTTTATACATAAGAAATAATTTTATCAATGATGAAAATATAATACAAAATTTAATGTCAACCTAGAAATCAAACTATTTTTCTTTTTAGATGGTGGGTTAGTGGTTTGAGTCAAATGATACCATAAACAAACAAAAATCAAGTGTGATAAGTAAAAAATATTTTATATAATGTAAATGAAATATATAATTTAAAGGGAAAATTATAGTCAAAGTCGATTTTACATTTAAAATTAGGTTGTGGGTTGGTCCAAAAGCCAACGAACTTTGACAACTTGCTCTACATTTCAAATTATCAAAAACCCCGCCATGTCATCGAAGGCTTATGTGGTTGTTGCCAACATGGGAAAAGCCTATATCAAAAATATGTTTTCAATTTCTCTACCACTCCCTCTATCTCTCGATTTCCCTCCCTTCTCTCTCACTTTCACAGTCATCTCTCAATCTCCCGCTCCCTTTGTCTCTCCAACTCTCTCAGGGTCAGTCTGTAGCCAAATCAAAACCTCTCTCTCTATCGTTCTCCCTCAATCTCTCTCATTCTTCTCCCTCACTCTCCCTCTCGGTCAACTCCTTCTCCCTCAATCTCTATCGTTCTCCAATTGGAATAAATTTCATATCCAAGAGTTTCTTGTGAATTTTTATCAAATTGGTGTAATGATTTTTTAACCATACCAAGTTGGTCTCATGTTCTTTTATACGATTTGATTAATACTATATAAGTGTGCAAGAAAATAAAAAAAGAATGAGTGAGAGAGAAAGAGAAAGAGAAAGAGGGAGAACGATAGAAATTAAGGGATGAGAGATCGAATGAGAGAGATTGAGGGAAAACGAAAGGTAGAGAGAAAAAATGAGAGAAATTGATATAAAGAACATAAATACAGAAACCAAAAACTATTTTTATTTATTTTCAAACCACACAGTCGTTGAGCAGATAAAGATGATTGTAAGAGTAAGAGAGTGTAAGGGAGATTGACAAAGAGAGATAAACTAAAAACCCATTTTTTATTTTCCAATCACCCAACATTAAAGGGCAATTTTGGTATAAGCTTTTTGTTGTGTCTAACATAAATTAAGGGTCCCATGTTGGAAACAACCACATAAGCCTCTAATGACATGGCAAGGGTTTTTATAATTTGAAGTGAAGAGCCAGTTGTCCGAGTTTTGTTAGTTTATGGACCAACTTGTAGCCTAATTTTAAATGTACAACTAGTTTTGACTATAATTTTTCATAATTTAAAACTAATCCAAAAACAGAGCTATTTTCTTATCTAGATGGCGGGTTAATGATCCAACTTTACAAAGAAACTCATGATGTCATAATTGAATAACAAATATTTAAAAAAGGATATGACACAAAAAATGAAAATGTACAGAATTTTGTTGAAAACATTTTTGATGTTATATATTCATCATATTAAATAGAAATAATTATTAAAATAAAAGTTATTTTTATTTATGATAAAATACAATAAAATTTTAATAATAATAATAATAATAATAATAATAATAATAATAATAATAATAATAATAAATTGTTATTTGCTACAAGCATTTAAGTTTATTTTTAATCATATTGTTACGCTTTTTAATTTTCAACTTCTATCTTAACTATGATATATCTAAAATTCAAGTAATTAATATGAAGAAAAATTTATCAGGTACAACAACACATGTGCTTAATGTGTTGCTTTAACAAATTGATATATTTATTGTCTAATTACAAGTAAAAAAGTATAGCTGTCAATTATAATTATAAGTGACTCCAACTGGTAGTTTCAATTAGAAGCCATGTGGTGCTTGGATCAAAAACTACTTCCAACCTTATTGAATCAGGTTGGATTTGCCCCAGCCTAACCCGACCAATTAACAACACTATGACTCGGCCAATTAGTGCAATATGTAAGCTCACTAAACCTTAACCTTAGAAACTCTGTTTTCAAGACCTAGCCATGGGTTTACATTACAAAATTATACTATTTGTAACAGGTAATGACAAAATTATCCAAACTTTAGTAGTTATATATTCACCAGGGGTGCACCTTTTTCAGGTTAGGGTTGGGATTTTGTCAAAACATCGATAGGCCCAACCTGAAACCAACCTGAAACAGTGTAAATTGTTATATCGGGCCAACCCGACTTGCAACCCTAAATTATTCACTCTTCATTTGATATTCAATCTTAAAGTCGATTTCAATCTATTTTACCTATTCAATCTCACACTTTCTTATGCCAATATGATACTTTATCATTTCATCGAGCAATTGTTCATTTGAAAAAAAAAGGTCTAAAATCTAGAGCCAAAACATTTCTATTCTCCAAAGCAAAAAATAGCGACTATGTGATTTTGTGCTTCAAAAGCACAATCCTGAAGCTTACCGTAACGTAACCTTAAATTAAATGAAAAAAAAAAAAAAGAACTGAACCTCATTAAATCGAGGAAGAATTTTTATTAAAGAATAATGGAATGTAGTTGATGGAATTTTTAAACTACGACAGATGACGAAACAAAAGAAAAAAATATAATGTATATAACTATATATCACTAATCTAGGAAGGAAGAAATTGATTTGTCATAATTAATTTGGTTTATTATATTAAGCAAGTAATAGCGTACGCGCAACCAACCAGGCACCAGCAGAAGAATTTCACTGAATTATTATTATTAACTCTTAATTAACTAATGGAAAGTGAGTTGCTTAAAAGTGCAGCTCCCACATTTCATAGTAGATAGATTCTAATTATAAAATAAAGATTACACTCTCTACCAACCTCCCACCAACCAACCCGCAAATAAATTTGAATTTATCTATTTGTCTTTGTCAGCCCCACCTAAAAGACCACCCAATACACCAAAGCCCATTGATTGAGATTTGAATGCTTATCAGAAAAAAGAAATTAAAAATAAAAACCATTGATTGAACTCCTGATCCGTAATGTCTATTTGTCATTGAAGATCCCAACCGCTAATTGCGTGTAATTCCAACTCCTGAACCATAATTTCGAACCATATTTAGGTAAGGTGCCTGTAATTGTCAGATTTTTAGTGTGAAACCACTCATAGGCGCCCGCTGAATGGTTGCGTGATTGATTTTTTCTGATCAGGTCTAGGGTTGGGTAAATTGGCGAAGAACCGAGCCTGAGAGCTGTAGTTGATTTGAAAAGAGAAAACCGTGAAAAAAAAATCTAGGAAGAATTATTTAGGTTTCAGTACCAATAACTGCAGCTTCCACGAATGAGAGATTGTACACCAAATCCTGAACTACATTTGGTTGTATTCTCAAAAAGTTGAAAGGAAGAGATTTAATCATTTAAAGGAAAAGAACAGCCCAATCAGCCTATTTAACAAACAATTCCTCTGCAAATCTAAGCAAGCAAATTAAGAACCCTTTTATGACGAAACTCTCTACAAAGCAATCTTGGCATGGTAGAGAGACAGAGAGAGGGAGGGCGAAAGAATTAGACTTCCAATTATGAATTACCTGACCGCTGACTCTGTATATGTTTCCTTCTACACATATATCTGTTCTAAACGAACATACCAGGCCTCTTTGTAACAGCATAGCTTCTGCTTCTCGGATACCGCAAATCAGTCTTCACCTTGAAGTCTTGGCTGAAATCACAAGGCTTGTCCTCATCAATTCGTCCGATCCCTACGCTAAAACTCCTGGGCACCTTTCCGTGCATTTGCTGCTGCTGCTGCTGCTGCTGTTGTTGTTCCAGTTGCTGTCTGAGTTCCATCTCAATATGATTCTCCAGACTCCTCCGGGAAGCAGCTCGAATCAGCTCTCGGAGATCATCGTCCTCTCTCGATCTGGACGAGTTGACGCTGAAGCTCTTGGGAAGGTCGGAGATTGGTACAGCAGGGCCACCCATGACGTTGCCGTAACTGTTGGCGCAGTTGGTCATGCTACGGACATAGAAGTCTCTAGCCTTGCAGAGAATTCTGAAGGGTGCCTTGATGCACCGGCCAAGCTTGCTTTCGTTCTTTGCTCTGTTTCTCATGTTTTAACCAGACAAACAATCCTATTACCCAATATGACAAAGAAAGGGTATCGAAAACAAGAGGGAGATAGAGAGAAACGAGTGGGTGATTCAATCGACAAATTAAAACATCAAAAGATGGCTGCAGAGATGATAGAGAGGTTAATGCTCTTCTTGGTTTATAGAGGAGTTTGGGTTGACGGTTTTCTCAGGAAATTTGAGAGGGAAAGAAAAGACATAATGTATATTGGTCATTGGGGTCTCCGTAGGCGTTTTGTAATGTAAATGACTTTGGTGCAGCCACCGGCAAGCTTTTGTGGACATTTTATTACAGCTGAATTGACTGAATTGAATGGGGGTATAAAACAGAGATAGACAGACATCCGTCGTCAATCAACGCATAACCTACCTAATGTCCTGTTATCTAAAAGATAATGCAATAAATCGTTCAGTATTTCAGACGGTTCAGCTGTTATCAAACGACCCCCTTGGTGCTTGATACAAGTAATGTCAAAACTTAAAAAAAGGTCTAAAGATATACGATGACTTTTTCAAAACAAGCGGCCATATAATTAGGTGAGGATGGAAAGAAAGATAATAAACAAGATTTTTAGCCTAGAGAAGGATAAGCTTTCAAAACAGAGGTACAATACGCCAATATTGAAAAGCTTTTGTAAATCGTCCACAATCAGCAGCTCAGCTGCCTCCCACAGACTCAAAATCCAACCTGGTAAAACGTTTCCCAAACCCAGGTTCCTGGGCATGAACACAAAAACCACCTTTGCCCATTTGCCAAACAAGCGGGTCGGATAGGTACTTAAGTAGATGCCTAAGAATTGGGATCTATTTCTCACACCAATCTCACAGCCACATGGTACGGGAGATATTTTCGATGTACAGCCAAGACATGCTGTAAGGTTGGTGTGAGGAGCAGATGCCTACGGCCTAAGGCTGTAAACAGGTCTGGGTCAATTCGGTAGACCCAACCCTATCTGACCCTGTTACTTAAGAGTTTGGATCTGCATTCGAGTCCTGACTCCTGATCTTCTTTGGGATTCATTCCACTCCTGAATCCTGATTGTTGTTGATAAGGCCAATTTTGAGCTCCAAGTGGATTGATTTCACATGTCCTTACTTTGATTAAATGAAAAGTACACGTCCATCCACACACCATTGTCAAGGAGTGCATATCCAACATGTTCATATGGCCACATCCACATCAGATTTATCACATCTGGTTTTTGTTAGATAAATAACAATTGAACATTTGGCTCCTCCCTTTCCAAGAATATAAAGCGTTCTTCCACGTACACTGACGGATACATTATCAACATCAAACTTTAGATAATTGGGTGATAATAAAATAGGATGCACATAAATAGTGGCGGAGCCAGGGATTTTGTTTTTTGGGGGATGGGGGGAGTGGTGAGGAAAGGGGAAGTTAGAAAAAATGGGGCTTGAATGTTTCCATCACTGTTTTCAAAATCGGATCGGACCAGATGGTCCGATTGAAAAAACCGGGAATTGGTCATTTGGCCAGTTTCATTTTCCTCCAAAATCATTTTTTTTCCTAAAATTATTGATTTTGGTCAATAAATCGTTGAACCAACCGGTTAATCGTTCAAACGGTTTTGATCGTTTTCCAATCTTTTTAATTTTTTTGTTAAAACGGGCCAGCTGTTCAGGTCAAACGATCGAATCATTTGAACCAGTAATCGGACCCCTGACCGATTCGTTTTTAAAAACCATGATGGACATACTCTATGGGAAGTTGATCTGAATTCTGACAAAGAGCCATAGTTCCATGGGTTTGATCCTATGAGGGATGAAGACTAATCATTATTTGGATCACCAACCAGCTGATAGGCCAAAAAATATTCCTTGATATTAATGGATAATGCTCTTGGGTAAACTGCTGAAACCTCTCCTTAGTTTTCGACTGTTGATGAAACATTGAAGTCTCCTCTCAAGTTTGGCAATTGTAATCACTTTTCTTGAATTTTTTAACACAATTGTAAGTAGATCTTCTCTGTTAGAATTCTCCTAAAAAGAGGTATTAAATTGTTTAATTGTCCAAAATATCCATGCAGATTAATTATTGAGACTGGTTTCTATAGAATATACAATACAAATTTAGGGCAAATTTGAAAAATAAACAAATTTCAGAAAAAGAGATTGGGAGGGTTAGGACTAACCATTTATATAACGTGAAAATTTGAAAAATAAACATTTTTAATAAAAAATAACTACATAAATATTTTGAACATTTTCATACTTTCTTTTAGAAGATTCTAACAAAGATGGTCAAGTTGCAAGTTGCAACCATGTAGGGAGATGATTATAATTAACAAACTTTCAGGGCATTGATTAATTAATTCTGTCAAACTAGTGTGACATAACCTATCCTAATCATCCTATATAACAGAAAACAAGGGGGGGGGGGGGNCCTGCTGCCATTGTGGAATGAGATTCTAATAAATTATGAATATGTTCATATTCAATTTGAATCATGCACTATATAGAAGCGTTCATTTTGGAATTTCTCATAGTTGAGAATCAGTAAGCAGGCACATGCATTGAACATGTGACCATGGTGTTACTAGTCGTCAAACAAGAGTTTTTTTTTTTTTTTCTTTTGATACATAATATATTTTTTTTCCAGTTTCAACTTCATTCTCACTATGATGTATTCACTTAGCAATGACAACAAAGATATATATGTTATTGTGGCTTTTATCATAAAAGTATTTAAGGCCCAGTTTAAAAGGAATATAAATACAATATTATACATAATAAAAGATTTTGTATTCTACAAATTTAAATTTATTTATACTTCATCCAAACTGAGCCTTAAAGATCATTAATAAGAATAAAGGGTTTAAATCGACAATTATTTATCCTTTTTCGATTGTATGATTATATCTTGCTAGTATAAGGGCTCTAGATGTAAGTAAAGATAAAAAGGTAAAATTACAAGTAATAAGAACTCTGATTTAACCACTAAAACTAAGACAAATGACTACGTTATATAATATATAGATATATACAGATGATCAGTCGTTTAGAACATGGTTTTCAAAACTGGATTAGATTGGATGGTCAGATTAGAAAAATCGGGAATCGGTCAGGTGATTGATTCCATTTTTTTCCAAAAACTGTTGATTTTGATCAGCAAGCTGCTGATTTGGGTGGTTAACCGTTCGAATGGTTTTGATTGTTTTTTATTTTTAATTTTTTTGTCAGAACGAGTTGATCATTTAATTCAAACAATCGGACCGTTCGACCTAAGAACCAGACCCCTGACCGATTCGTTCTTTAAATCAATTTTAAAAACCTTGGTTTAAAATATTATGGTCACTCCTAACCACCAAAAATTTACAATATTCCGAGCTTTCATTAAGCATTTGAGCTGCAATAGACAAGCTGCGATGGTTAAGTATGTGTATTCTGGATAAGCTACTTGAACTAGCTGCACTCAACAGTCATAAAAATGACATTCGGAGCCTGCATGTCTGTGTTCCAGATTTTTACCAAACATGGCTTCTGAGTTTTTCATACAAGGCTCGTCTCAAAATGTGAAAAGCTGCCGTGCAAAAGCGCTCCCAAACAGACGCTAAGAAGGGTCTAGTGTGAATTTGTTCTAATTCACAATAGGACAAACTGTTAATTTGTTGTAATTCTCTTTGGAGGAGAAGACATTTTTTCAAAGGATAAGTAGAAGTTGAATGTTTTACTGGATTAAGAAGGGTCTAGTGCGACTTCTATTTGATTATCTACTTCCTTTTTTTAATGATTTGTTTGCCAATGAAATGGTTCTTTTTTATGGTGGATGTGAAAGCTGCGTAGCCTTTCTATCGAAAGGACCTTTATTTTCTTTTTCCTTTTTACAAGAACAAATTTATTATTTTTGCTGACATTTCAGCTGTTTTAATTTGAAAACAAAATTGCACGTGATGGTAAATTTCACAGTATTTTATTATATTTTAACTAAACCACATCATGCATTGATTTGGCGTTTAATGGATATGATAATTTCCATTAACTTTTTTGGCATGCTTTTAATTAGTAATAATTTCATATTCGGTTGGTCAAAAACAGCTGGTTTGGAGTTTGTTGAGATTAAATTTGACAATAATTTCTTGTTTTAATTTATAACACAGACTGATCTAGTCTTAATTTACAAACATCTACTCTCAACTCTCTTTTCCAAATTCCATTTCCTTCCATAACCTTTTCATGGGTTTTGCCAAACACTTAAATAGTGAATTTTTTTTTTTTTTTTTTCATTCCCTATTGTACAGACTCAAAAGTTTTTAAATGGAATAATCAGTAAAAACCCCTAAATTGATCCATGTAGCCCGTACTATATGATGATTATAATATGACTTATTTTTGAAGTTGCAAAAACCGCATATTCATGGAAAGAACAACAATGATGATTATGATATGACTTATTTTGCGATTGCAATAACCACATATTCATGAAAAGCTTATTGGCATTGTGGATTTTCACAAGCTGATGTTCTTGTTTAGGCAACCCTTTAATCATGTCAGTTCGGATTTGAAATTTTAGATCAATTGTTCTCGTGTTTTTTTCACAAGTGACTAGTAAATAGTAATTGATATAAAAAATTTAAAACTTCATAAAAATAAAATAATTCAACTACGATGCAAAAGTACACAATAAAGCAAAAAATTAATCAATTACATTAAATATGGGGTTGTTAGGCAAGTTTTTTCTAGGTAAATCTTTCAGCAGTCCGATACGGGTGGCAATGGATTGAATTCAAATTGAATCAATCAATATTTGAATTTGAATCTAATTAGAAAATTTGATATTCGTATCTAAATTGATATCTGATGTTGCTTAATCCGAGGTGGTGTACGAATTGAGGTTGTGGTCAAATAGTCTTTGCTTACAGGGTGGAGCTGAGGTAGAAGGACGAAGTCGCACTCCAAGATCTGCGATCAAGAAAAGATGTCAGAGGCTCGAGGAGTTATCCTCGGGTAGGCATTCCGATGCTCAAATCAGTAGAAGATGGTGGATGGTCAGGCTGAGCAATGACGGCGTTGGTACGAGCAAAGTAACAATATGGGTGTTAGAAGTTGGAACCCCTTACATTGAGCGGGAGATATCTTTTTATAGCCGAAGGTCCGTGTTCTAATCGGATTAGGTTTCCAAGGCTGTCGGGATGAGGTTAACCGCCATGGTCTTCGGGATAAAGTCTTAATCCCCAGCGGAGTTGTCCCCATCCCTCTCCTGTTCTTGGTCGTACTTACCTGCATGACGTGGTTGAGAAGATAAGGTGAGGGCTACAGAGGTAGCGTAGCACGATCATCGCCACGGAGTCGGTGTATGCCATGGATTTGGCAGGGCGATGCCAACGTGGCCAAGGTAACTGGATAGTGATTGGATGGCCACATGGCATTTAAGGCCAGCTCAACCATGACCCGGATAATACCCAATTGATATTGAAAATTAATATT